ACTCGAGTTTCTCAACATAAAAGCAATTCTTTATGAATTTGCTCATAAGCTTTTTTTTACATTATTTAAACATCATTGGATGTTTAGCAATTCTTAATAAGTGGATTTGTGTCAATATTACTATGTTATGTCAACTTCCTTAAATATGGAAAAAGATACAAGTTAATGTCCCACCAGGCATTTGCTGAAAGGATATTTTCTAAGGAATAAAATTTACTATAATGTTTCATTTTATGACCCTTGTCTACATACAAATCATCTACAAACACGAGTGACTTCATGCTCATTTGTGAAGCAGAAAGCTTTCCCAGCAACTCTAGCCTAACTATCGTTTGTCTGTTTTTGAAGGATTCTCTGTTTCTTCCAGCTCTGGGTCTGCACCCTGTTTCCTCCCTGGAGACTGCCGGTCAGCCCTCTTGCCATGAGTGGGACTAGGTGACAGGGTGGGGTCAGAAGCATGGGTAAAGCAGTCCGGGTTATTGAGACAGACACACGCTTTGTGGCACTCCCAGTGAACATGTCAGCCACAACAGCATAACCAGAAAAAAAACATGTCTTGGTCATGGATCAGCCAAACATCCTGTTTGCCACCCCTGGCCACACCAGGGGCTAGCTTTGTTGCTGGAACGGTTGGGGGCCAGTTTAAAGTTGAATAAACATATTTTCAGATGGTAGAAACCCTAAGGTGTCCCAGCTGAGGGTGAAGCCTAAATTCCAGGATGGCAGCCGTCTGTATTCCTGCTGTGGTTCACGCCCATGAGGACCTAACACCAGCCCAGCCTTTGTGGACATCAGAGAGAAACAGATGGCACCCGACAAAATACCCACAAAAGAAGTTGCTCATCAGGTGTTTGGAGAGCAGCAGGGAGCTGTTGACTAAAGATGTTAGTGAAAATGGACTCTCTAACTTGTGGTGACTTAACATAAAGAACGTAACTTTCATATCCATTTAAAGTCATTCATTTTGAAGAAAAAAATCTAAAAGATGATTTCCCTAGAGAGAAAAAAATCTCAGAATGCTTTTCAGAGTTATTCATTCAAAAACTTAGCCTAAATATTCATCCAATTACTTTTAGCCAGAATTTTTAAAAAATAAAATAAGAGTTTGGATCTATAGAATACAAACTCCACAAATATCAATGCTATTCTTTATTTGACTATAAAATTATTTTTATACTTTGACAAAAACACTTTTCTCATCAAAATATAAACACATATAGTTTGTCCTGATTCTATGTTGTTGGAGGGTTTTTTCCTAAGTCTTCTAACTCAAACAAATTTTCAAAACTTCATCTTTAAAAGGAATCCAGAATGACTAAAGAGAAAAACTGTTATTTAAAAAATGTTTGTCTAGACAATTTAAATAAATCACACATACTTGGGCCTCACCTCAGGTCTTCACAGAGCCTTTCTGCCTGCCCAGCTCCTCTGACAGAAAGGGGCTGGGAGCCAGGGCTGGCCTGGCCTGGCCTTTCTGATGTGACCAGCCTCAATAAACAGAAATGGAATAATCATGGCCAAGTACAGACCAGTCATCCAGCTCGGACAGCCATTCCGTGTTGATCATGGGACATGAGGAGCATGCACTTGGCTCTCTGTATTCCAGGTCCTATTGGTGGCCTTGCAGTGGCCTGAGTTCTCATTGTTTAAGGTCTCTTTTTTCCTTCTAATATACTTAAATTATAAAGACTTTTTAGTACAGTACTTTTATGGTTGTCCCTAACAACTGAGTAGTAAATTTAGCCTACTAATTACTTTTCTGTATTTTGCCTTAATAATAGGAGTTAACATTTACTGAAGGCTTATTTGTGCCAGGCGTTGCTCTAAGTTTATTGGTTCGATGAGCCAGGAGCTATTACTTATCTGCATTTCACAAACGTGGAAACCCAGGTACGATGGTATCTAAGTCATACTTTGAGCCACTATACCATGTTGCCTTACATTTTAGACTTTTAAACCTAACATTATTCTGTCAGTAAAAAGGAAGACCATATGTAATGATTTGGTTTGGCACTGGATTCTATTTTAAGTGAAACTAAAAAAGTTTTTATAACACTCTTTAGGTGCCAAGTCTGTTGTAAGCACTCTGCTCAGGCATTAATTCATTTCATCTTCGATCCAGTCCTGTGTAGGCACCGCTATTGCTCCCATAGTACAGGAAAGGAAACTGAGACGTCGAGAGGGTGATGCGTAGCTTGCCCATGGTCATCTAGCCAGTACGACAGAACATTTGGGGGAGGCAGTGCATATGCCAATTATTGCAATTATTTTAACATTCTAGTCCTGCCATTGCTATTTGCCTTTAAAAAATTATTCCATCTTTCTCATTTTAGCAACCTCATTTACAAATAATGGGTGGCAGTGAGGGCTCCCATGATCTCTAAAATCCCTTCCAATAGTACCATTAATTTGGTACAACAAACCCTGCAAAGTCACACAGGAAAAGCCTTGTTTATGCTACTCCATAGGCTTAAACTCAAACTGCAGCATTTGCATGGCTATACATTCTAACACTTCCTGTGTACATTGGGTTTCGGGAAAGACTGGCTTTGGGAAAGGTATCTAGCCATAGAAAAGCATTAGCTGGAAAAGTACCTAGCTAAAATGTAGGAAATATTTTGTTGATCTTCAGAAGTGCCGATTTCAGCTCAGCCTCTGCCAGTAGGCCCAGATGACTCTCAATGCTAGAATCCCTGGCTCCACCATTCACCGGCTGTGCAACCCGGCCCATATTCCATCATGCTGATCGAGCACCTCTCTCTGTAAAATGGGGATGATAATAATTCTACCGCAGTGGAGTTGATGTGAAGAGTAATTGAAATGTCTGTAAAGCATGTACAATAGACCTGGAACATGGTAGGATTATTTGAGAATACTTTTTCTCCTAAGGGGAAAACTATAAATTCCAACTATTGTCATAGCTATGGAGGATTCCTTCTGAGGTCTGATGAAAGACCAGTCTCTTAATATTCGCAAAATTGGGCCCATCATTTTTATCCTCAGGAGCAAAAAAAAATAGACTTAAATTGCTCAATGGTTATGACAGATGTGACTCAAAACTGAACTGGAGGCCCTGGCTGGTGTAGCTCAGTAGATTGAGCGTGGGCCTGCAAACCAGAGTATCGCGGTTCGATTCCCAGTCAGGGCACATACCTGGGTTGCAGGTGAGTTCCCAGCAGGGGACACACGAGAGGCAACCATACATTGATATTTCTCTCCCTATCTCCTTCCCTTCCCCTCTAAAGATAAAGAAATAAAAAATCTTTTTAAAAAACTGAACTGTATTAGTCTGGTGAAAATGCTCAATATCAGAGGTCCTGTGTTCACAAGAACACTATGAGTTAGAGGTTTTTATTTAACCATATTTAATTAACTAGGCAATCAGTATCTTTTAGGCAATTGGTTGGACTGGATTTTCTAAAGTTTGTAAGGGACAGATATGAATTTGCCTCCCCCTTTTTGGTAAAAAAAAGGTAGTGGCTTTGTTACTTGCTAAATTTCTTACATTACATTTTCTGGGGCCTGGAAACAACATTTTAGAGCAGTAGAAATTCTCTGTCCTTCTGAACAACCCATCAATACAGCATATTAATTACCCAGTAATACAAACAACTTATATAATGCAGTATACGAATTACCCAGTCTGCAAGGAAATAAAGAAGAAAGCCTAAGGAAGTTTGAGATTTGACGGAGACGTGAAATTTAACACGCTCTGGAGGTCTGATTACACTCGCCTGTCACTCTTACTAGTGGAAAATCACTTTCACTACGTAGAAGAGCCAAATAAATCAATCCATCGCTTCAAAGTGAGTTGTATTAGCTTAATGCAGATTCGATCTGGGAATAAAGTAGGTCCCTTTAAAATTGACTATAGAATGTTACAATTAATGGTAGTTTATTAAGTATACTCACTTGGCAAAGTTGTATGTATAAATATAATAGGATTGTATCTGGGACAAAATGGATACCCTAAATTTAGGTAAAGCTCTCAGAGGTGAAGGCAATGATAGAGATTATATCATCCACCAGAGACCCAGAGGGATTGTGTGATTTGACTAAGGTTACGTGGAGTAAGTGGATAGTCCAGATTTTAGCAGAGGCTTTCTTGATCTCAAGTTGAGAGAAGTCTCACTCTTCTACAGCATGCATTCAACAACAGGTTATGATAATAATTATAATAACCATTACTTGTGAGGTACATACTCTTAGCTAAGTACTCTGGTACTCAGAACTCTTTGTCCCCACCTCATAGCTCTTTGAGTTATGTCTAGTTGTTTCCACTCTACGAATCCAATGACTAAGCCTCTGCACTGTGACATGTTCAAGGCTATGCAGCGAGCAAACACCGGGAGCTGGAGCCTCACCCTTGCATCTGCTCTTTCCACTGGACCCACTGCTTCACCCATGACCACATGGGGGACCAACATGACCACATCTTTGACTGGATTTTCTTTTAAAGTCAGTATTTTAACCTATTGCAATGATAGTCCTGGCTGAGTGCAACTGTAGAACTTGTATCCAAATGAGTGAAAAAATACTAATACCATTCCCAACACAAGCTCATAAAGGAAAAGGGCATCAGAATGGTACAATATTTGTCTACTGTTCTTGAAAATTAACTCAATGACTTTTTAAAAAAATCGAGTGTACAAAACCCTACCAAATTGTTAAAATATTATCTCTTAATTTACATAGGCCATGGATTCAAGATTATGAACTTCAAAAAGCAAATAGTCAACTCCTAGAGGGAGTATTCCTGGAAAGGGAACATTAAGGGAACAATGAATACTTTGAGGTAAACTAAAAGAACTACTGAAAATTACTATTTATTTAATGCTTCATTCTATTTGAAAGAGAAACTCCCACATGATCAATACTACCTATATTTAAAAGTTTAAAATATATTGGAAAGTGATTGAATGAGGAATAACTACAGTCAGAGTAGCAGTGTCTTAGCAAAATATTTTAGATTTATTAGCCAAACTATTAAATGTTTGATGTGTGTTAGAAGCATTAGTTCCAAGGCAAAATGAGGCGATATTATGTGTTACTGTTTGGAAACTTTTTTATTAAAAAAGATTTTTAATATTAATGCTATTTTCAATACAGGTGTGATAATACTCAATAAAGTATCCTGTACTTGATATAGTGAACTTAGAAATGCAACAGTCCACATACATACTGGCCCCTCCCTCTCCATCAGCTACCCTAGTAGCAAAATGTAAATATCCATTTAAAAAATAAAGAGGCCTTCAGGCAGTTGGATGAGCAGAGTGGGGGCAAGGAAAGAGCTCTTTCCAGACATACTCATGCTTTTGGCTTTGACTTCATTTAGTAATGTCAGTTCTGAGAGAACTGAATCAAACCCTTCTATGCTCGGCAAAAGCATAGGAGAAAAAAGCTTGTCATTCACAAGCAGCTATGGACAAAACCAGAGGCAGAGTTGAGAGATTAGGGAAATTAGGGATTCAAAAAAAAAAAAGTTAAAGTGCACAGTTATTGTCAAAAATATATTATTTTTCCTAAGAAAATTAAGAGCATTTTATCTAATGAACTAGATTGCTGACCTTTTAATACTTTTGGTTTTCTGGAACATACAATCACCATCGGACATAAAAGGCTAGTTTGCTTTTTTAAAAAAAAAATTGCTTGGAGTTATCTACAGGAATCTTGTGAACACAATTCAAGGATAACATTCTGCAGCTCTTTGGGTATTGGACGATTTCCTCCGATAAGTCCACAAGGAAAGAGGGAGCTGTTCAACTCACTGATTCAAGTGGGCATATTTTCTCACTCCTTTTCGCCCTGGCTCCCTCTTTCCCTAAGTGCCAGTACTTTCCAGCTCTCCGTCCTCTACCCCTAAGGCGTGAGAACGAGAAATCATGAAGAGTTTCTCCTTGTTTGTAAACCGCCTCTGCACTGGCTGCGGTGGCTGGGTCTTGGGTGCCCCTCGGCTGGGATCTTCCAGGGGGCTTCCTGGACGACTCTGCTCCTCCACGCCTGGGGCGGTGCTTGACTCACAGTCTTGACTTTTACTGGCTACTTCGTCCACAACCGACTCCATGGAGGTGCTGGCATCCTGCAGCGGGGTGTAGCCCTTATTGCTGCAGGATGGGTCCTCGGAGTGGGAGCTCGGGGAACCCAGCCTGGCGGGGGGCGAGCCCTCCAGTCGCAGCGGGGGCGAAGGGGAAGCAGCTTTGGCCGGAAGGTTCGAGTCCAGGTCTGCGCTGTGCAAGGAGGGCGGGGGCTCCGGGGACAGCGGCGACCGGTAGTCTGGTAGCCCGCTGGTGCTACAGCGCCTCAGAGCCCTGTACTTGCCGGTCCTGGGCAGCTGGCCGCCCCGCACCCTGGCGGCGTGCGTCGCCGCCACGCCCCCGGGCTCCTCCGGCTCTCCAGGCGCCCAGCACGCGCCACCCAGGTTACCTCGGAGGTCGGTCAAACTGAGGTCGAGCTCATCCCTCGGGATCTTCTGGGAGCCGCCTGCCCCAGGCAGTCTCTGCCAGCTGCAGCTTGCGCCCTTTGCGCCCCCGTCCCTGTCGCGGTCCCCTTGCATGGGTAACAGTGTGAAGGCGCTCAGCGAGGAGTCCACGAGGGAGCTGGCGGTGCTCTGGCGCCCCCAGCTCTCGGGTGGGCTGCAGGGCGCCGGGCTGCTGCTGCTGCTGGCGGCTGCGGTGGCTGTGGCCACAGCGGCGGTGGCGGCAGCCCGGCGACGGCCAGCCACGCACGAGCGTTCGCGGTAGATGCTGTACACGGCCTCCGCCAGGCTCGGGGGCTCCCGCGAACATCGCGGGGATGAGGCCAGGTCTGGCGGGGACACGACGCCCCTGGCCCCGCCGCCGCCCCCACCCAGAGCGGTGGGGTGGGGCCAGGAGCCCTTGGCCAGCATCGCTGCAGCCTCGAAGGCATCCCCAGGGCCGCCGCCCCCGGGCTTCAGCTCCAGGCCCCGCGACTGCACGTAGCTGAGGAAGCCGTTGAGTGGTGTAGCCCCGGGGGGCGCGGAGGCGGGCACGGAGGAGGTGGAGGAGGCCTTGGCGGCAGCGGCCGCAGCAACGGCCAGGTCTTTGGCACGGAGGCTGTGCACGTCGATGACCGTGGAGTAGAGGTCCCGCAGGTTGATGATCTTGGTCTTCTTGTCGCGGTTCTCGTGGAGCACCGCGTTGGCGCAGATGAAGAGGAAGATGCCAATACCCATAATGAGGGGCCCGAAGACCTTGAGCTTGTCGGAATGCAGGTAGTCGGAGAAGATTCGGAAGAAGAAACCCACGGAGGCAGAGGAGGACGGCGAAGCGGTGGTGGACCGTGCTGGAGGCGTGCTCCTGGGCGCGCCCAGGGAACTGGAGTTTACACCCCCCACAGAAACCAGGTGGCTCTTGGACCGGTTTTTGCCGCCACTGCTGCTGCTGTTGCCCGTGGTTGGGGCTCGCTGGCCGCTGCTGGTGGGCGGCAGCTGCTTACCCCCCTCCTTACTAGCCCCGTCGGCCTTGGGCCAGTAGCCCATCACCGCCATGGCTATGCCAACCAGCAGCACCAGGATCCCGCAGAGGGCGATGAGCCCAGATATGGAGCACAGCTTCAGCTTTCCTTTCACCACCACCACGTCGTTCTTGCGCCTCTTCTTGGCTTTCCGCTTGCGCTTGGGAACCTGATTCGGAGGGCGGAGGGGATCCTGCTTTCTGGCGGAAATCCTCAGCAGGCCGCCGGTGGCGATCATGATGGGCAGGTGGAGCGAGGGGCTGATCCTTGGGGCGGAGGCTCGTGCAAAGGGGGCGCCAGCTGCCCACTAGCTGCTCTGCCACCTCTTCCTGCTGCAAAGCAGAGGAAGACGGTCAGAGAGTACAGGCTTGACCTTAACGACATGCCACACACTGCAGTTGTCCCGCTCCTCCATCCCTCCAGAAGTGTGCCCCCCACCCCAGGGTCTTCACCCAACCACGAGAGTGTGGTTTATAGAGATCAGTGGGTGGGGTGGATGGATGAGGGAAGGGAAGCGTTGTTGCAGTAATTGATAGGAGGTGATAAACTTCGTCGCCCCCATGCCTCCATTTCACACACACTCTAGGTTCCAGGTTGTTCATTTCAAACCCTCCTGGCTGGCAGCCAACAGAGTTCTGACCATTAGTAGAAACTAAATGTTGAGGACTTTCCAGCCAGGCAAAAGCCATTCCCTTTGTCTGACTGGAATCAGAAGATCCCCAATCCAGCTGCCACGGGAGTCTCAGTTCTCTACCTAAGCCAAGATTTTGTCAGGGTTCGGCCCAAAGTCACTAAAACAGCCACAAAAGTTCTGTTATAAAGACAAAAGAACTCATTTCTTACACATGCAAGCAGGCAGCAGATCATACATATGCTGGCAGGCAGGCAGCTTATTTACCTCCGATAATTATATAGAGAGCCCATTGCTGGGAGAACACCAAAGAACTGTGTCGATACTCTGACAATAAATATCTACACAAAGTTGTCTTCTACCTATTACTGTTCCTGCAGCTAAAGGCAAGCAGAGCCCTCTCGCAGCCTTTTTCCCATCTCTTTTCTGCAACATCTGGACAGCTTCTTGGGGTGGAACATTTAGTTTTAGGTAACGGGTTATATAACTGAGCTCTTCCTTCTGGCCTCTTCTCCTCCCTCAGAGGAACTCCCTTATTGGTATCAAATGCTAGATCTCTTTGGGGAATTTGAGAGCTCCCTAGAATTTCCAAGAGAAAGATTTCTTTCTCCAGTGGAAAAATTACGACCTTAAAAAAAGAAAATTCACCGGTCTGCCGTAAGAGCTTTCTGAGACCTTATTAATATGCCAACACTTTTCAGAATCTCAAAATTCAAATGAGTAGGCAATTAATTAGATGTGGCATAATAATGATTGGCAAGATGATATTTTCCCAAGTGAGAACTGTTTTCTTCATCTTGAGGTCATTTTTAGGAAGGCAAGTGACAACAGTCAATGAATTATCTTGTAGGAAGTTTAGTTGTTTATTATAAAGCCGAGCTTAGATAAACGCAGATGTGTTTTTGTGGAGAGCTGTTAGCTTCTGGATCCCCAGAGTAAAACATTTTTTTGTTCCACTGCTTGTGCTCCCTCCTATAACAGAGATGATAAAATTAGGGGCCTTGTTAGAATTTGAAAGGCTTAGATATCACTCACAAGCCTTTTGGCATTTTATCCTTTATAAAATAAGTCATGTTTTACAATAAATTACCCTTTGAAAACGTGGGACCATTTAGGTAGAATCTTGCTTTTAATTGGTGCCTGGATGAAGCGCTTTGGCCCTCAGTTCCCTCCATTATATCAATATAGGAAGGATCTTTTCTCCACCGATGGAAAAGCAAATGGTAATCAGCTCTTTACAATGTTTGCAAATCAATTTTCAGTAAGGAGAAATATTAGGTAGGTTAGGAGGGGTCAGTAGAGAGAAAACATCTATGACCCTTCATAATTTTATTTTAAGGAGCTGCACCAGTATGTACAGGTTGTTTAAAAAAAAGAGTAAAACTACTCTTTTGGGGGGGTGTTCACCTGACACCCCCCAAAATAAGCATGTTTATTATGTAGTTGTAACAGAAACTGCTGTTTTTAAGTGATCCGTAGACTCCAGCATCTTATCTGGAGATCGGTGGTTATTTTAAGAAGGATTGGGGAGCTAGACATTTTAGCAACAAAACCGGACTCGGTTGGCGGCGTGGCTCTCCCAGGCGAGAGCAGGGCTAACGAGCTAACATGGTGTTCGGTCCCATTGTTAAGGTGGCCCAGGACGCCGCCTTTCCTGGGGAGGGAGACCCCCACGACCTATTTCTCCTCAGAGATCAGCGTTGCCTCTGGATGTGAGAAAGATTGAAATGAATTTCAACCATCGTTTACAGAAGATCATTAAAATGAGTTTAATAGCTAGTAATTAACTCCTTAGTTTATTATTCCTCCAGCTCCGCTGAAGGCTGGGCTCCTTTCCTGTACGCCAACCTCTGAGCTGAAATACTGACATCTGACATGAAAGCAGAAGTGGGGTCAGACGTCGCGGGAGACCCACCTTTGAGGCTTTTTTCCCATTCACGGTGCAGGGAAACAAACTTAGCAGTCGAGGTCGGCCGCCCTAGCAATTTACTGCCTGGTGCTGGTCTTTCCGTGGTTCAGGAATGGAGGAGGGGGGATGTCTAAAAATACAACTGCTTCCCAGAGAGACATTCAAGTTCTCGGCTCACGATGGATGAAGCCCCACTCCGCGAGAGGCTGGGAGCCCACGGGCTGGGCGCGCCCTGCCCTGCCCGGCAGTCCGCCCGGGTCCCGGACCCCCACTCCCGCCCTGGCAGGACAGCGAGCCCCGACCTCGGTCTTCTGCTTATTTATGTTGGAGTCACATGAGTGCAGCTGGGAGTCCGCCTCTGGAAAGAAGACAGGCAAAACCGAAGTGCGGGCGACCTCGAACTCGCAGTTTCTGGGCATCGCTCCCACACGGCCAGTCCTCCCGGGAAAACGCCGGCCCGGGACTGGCGTTCGGGAGACCGGAGACCCGGGCTCGGGGCAGGGGCGGTGGGAAGGGGCAGCTCGGGGGCTGCGCGCGGACAGAACCGCCCAAAATGGCAGCACTGGAGGCCGACGACGCCGCTCACTTACCCGGGAAGCCTGGGGCAGCTCAGGGCCGGCCGGACGCACGGGCGACACAAAGGAACCATGGAGAAACTTTTTCGGTCCCCGCCGGCCGCCGAGCGCAGGGACGGCGCCCCGGGGGCCCCGCGGCCGCGCGCCGCTCAGCAGCCCCGCGGGGGCGAGCGCCCGCCCCAGGTTCGCAGCCCCCTCCGGCGCGGCGGCTGGAGCCGTTTCCAAGAGTTTCCAAGAAGTGCCAGGTCCTCCGCATCCTGCATCTTGTCTGCCGGCCGATTCCCCCGCCGAAGCCCCTCCGCCCCTCGCGCCGGCCCCGCCGCCCGAATCGCCCGCTGCCCCGGCGCCTTTTGTGTGGCTGCGGCGCGCCGGGCTCCGCCGGGTGGAGTGGAGCCCGCGGCGGCTCGCGCTGCTCCGGGCGGGCGGCCGGACCGGCGGCCGTTGCTAAGAGACCGGAGCCATGACACAGGGAAATTGCTGCAGGCTGGCAGTCGGTGCCCGGCCGCCTCGGTGCCTCCGGGGCGCACCCGCCCCCCGCCCCGCCTCCCCGCGCGCCCCCTCCGCGGCCTCCCGCCTCCCCCGCCCCCCGCGCGCTCCCTCCGCCGCCCGCCGCGCGTCCCTTCGGAAGAACCGCCCGGCGACCCGGAGGCTGCGGGGCAGACGGAGGAGGAGCCCGGGGTCTGGGGACTCGCGCGGGGCGGGTTGGGCGCCCTGCGCTCCGACCTCCGCCTTCCCCTCCCCGGGGGCGCCCGGGCACCGCCGCCCGCCTTCCCCGGGAGCTTTGTTCTTTCTCGTCCAACTACCTGTCTGAGCAGCGGACCGAGAGGGTCGGAGAAAGGGCCCCGCTCCTGAGGGTCTCCCCGGCGGCATCCGGGGGACGCTCTGGAGCGAGAGAGGGACCAGTGTCCCCTCTTCCTCCCTCCCTTCTTCTCTCTTTTGTTGCTTCTACTCTTGGATACGACACAGGCTTTGCTGCCGCCCCCCTCCGCCCCCCATTCGGGTGTTTGCAGTGTGGACGCGCAGCGAACACAGTAAGTTGTCCCCAAGCAAACTCGGGCGCGGAGCGGAGCAGCCCCTGCCGATCTGGGCGCAGCGAGGGACTCGTGGCTCCGTCTCCCGTCCTCGCGCTTCAGTGAAGCCGGGCTGTGCGACCCGCTTCCCCGGGACCTCGGCCTGTCCCCTCGGAGCGCGGCCAGCTGGGGCTCCTCGGAGATTAGAATCGGTCCGGGCTCTTCCTTGGGTAGCCCCTCCTGCTCCTAAGCCGTGCGGTAATCAACAAGCATTAAAAGGGAAACTGTAATTCGGCAGGGATCAGGGTTTGAATCAACCAGGGGCGGTGGGGGTAGGGACGATATCCAAGCTCCCTACGTCATTTTTAAAAAGCAGGAGGGAGAGAGACGTCCAGTTTCCCAGCTCATCCCTGGCCTCTCGACTGTAAAGTTAAAATGACAGGGAAAGAGAATGTCAAAGTGGAATTTCCCCGTGGAGTTACTGAGAGCGTAGGAAAGATTTCAATTATCTGCGGAAGCGAGGCAGCGGGATTGAGGAAGAACGCGGCAGAAGGGCGGAGGGAGCGCGGGCTGGCTGACCTTTGGGGTCCAGACAGACGTGTTGCGGTGTGTGTGTGGGGGGAGGGTGCGTGTGGAATGTTCTGAGCGTTGCCGTTTAAGGGGCCGCAGAAGCCACACGGGGGGCTTTGGGGCCCGCAGTTCCAGTTACAAGACAGTTCCTTCAGGTCCACGGCATTCACGAGTGTTTAAAGCTAGAACATACACTTTTCAAAAAGAACAGTAAAAAAACAAACATGTACAGATTGAGAGAGATAAATGTGGACAATGATATATACGGTAAGGATGGAGGACGAAGGGAGTAGGGCAGGGATGGAGGAGAAACGTTCCCCAGAGGAACCCCTGCACCTGCCTACTTGAAAGGTGGCCTCTGCCACCCGCCCCAAGCCAGCGATGCATCTGGAGGATGAGCAGGACGTCCGGGACCCACCTCCTTCCACCTGTCTGTCTCTACTCACAGGTGGAAGTCAAGAAAACAAGCCACAATAAAGATAAAGTTTTACATCCCACACTGGATTGTTTCCTTTTAGAGAAATCACTGCAAAGAAGAAGCAACTTGGTCTTGCTGTCATTTTTAAAGGTTTGTTTCGGCTCAGAGATTCCAGATGTTGGAATCCCATAATAATCTGGTGTTTGGTATGGGGATGGGATCTGAGGGCTCATCTCAGCGCACAGCTGGCAGTCAGGGGCTGTGGGCGGAGACACCTGTCTGTCCCTCGTGGGCCTCTGCTGAGCTGCAGAAATGGGAATAATATTGCAGAACTTCATTAGACTTTTAGGTGGATTAAACCACTAATGGCTTCAAATTTCAGCATAAATTATAGCCATCATCTGCTCATCTAAAACTCACTGGAGGGATTTGGAGAATTCTTTTCTAGACAAACAGGCTTTGGGACAGAGCTAGTGTTTTTTCTGTGTTTTGTCTTGTTTTTGTTTTCATGTCAATGACTACAGTAAGATGTATGGTTTATTAACCAAAGAGTGCCTTCCAAACTGAGCTCTTTGGAACTTTGCACTGTTCTATTTAATCAGAGTGTTACCACCTTGGGTAATTTTCTTCATTTTCAGCTCAGGGTATCAGAGGAAACCAGGCAGATCATATCTCTTTCCAGAGGAGTCCTTCATGCCCTCTGTAATAACACAGTAGCAGCATGCATTACCAGGGCTTTCCAAGTTATACACAGTTCCTTTTAAAGGAACAATGATGTCTGTGGCCCTCCCGGAGTTGTTTTTCTTCTAGTTTCACTGGCGGTTTAGTTTGGATGGCTTCTGAGATTATGGGACACCCATTTTCATCCTCCTGAGGACCAACGGGCTAATACCACGTAATGATAATAATTCACTAGCATTCGGAGCTCAGCACAGCATTCCGAACATGTTGTTGCAGGAGAGTAATGCAGGCCTTGGGGGAAAAAGGAAAAAGATTAGCCAATTTGGTTGGATTACACTCTGATCTAAAACCTTTCATTTGCCCTTTCTTAAAAACAATCCTTCTGTAATTTATCAGTTTCATAATTTATTCACAACCCATTTACTTCCCCTGATCATTTCCTCACCTTGTCTGGCTCTCCTGCCTGTGCTCTCAGGGCTGCTTAGGGGGAGACAGGGGCCTGCCGGGGGCCCACTTGGGCCCCTCCTCATCTCTGGGGCTTCTCATGTCCACAGCTGAGCCACTCTGCCCACTCCGCGTGCTCTGCGCTCACAGACTGTCCAGGCTGCAGAAACAGAGGTAGTTTAGTGTGATGCGTTCTCCAACCCAGCATGGGCTCTGGGACCAGTTTGTATCCGACACTAAATGCTTAATTTAACTAAGTAAATGACTTAAGCTCACCTTCCTTAGTTTCCCTGTCTGTAATGGGATAATGACACTGATCCCTATTGCATAGCATTGCTGAGGAGTAAATGAGTTTAGTTCCTGTAAATTGAGGCTTAGCACACTGTATAATACACTCATGAAATGTAGCGATCATCCTTATTAGTCCTAACATCTTCTCCTACCTTGCTACTCTCAGTTTCCTGTTCTTTTCATATTCACCAGGATCTATGAAGGACCATATCTGCACTGAATCTCTCTGAAATGAGGTGACAGGATCAGCTCTTGTGACTGAAATATGCCTATCCAAACAGCATAGGCCCAGCGCCACTCAGGAAGACCCTCTGTCTAGGAGAGTGAAGGCACTTTCTTCATTGCTACTTTGCTCATTTTGCAATTAACCAAGGCCCTTTCATTTCAGTTTGCTGGAGAACCCAAATATCAAACCCATGTCACTCTGCAGTGAAATTAGAAATTTGTAAAAACACAACCAAGAGGACATTTTTTTTCCAGCTGGAAGTTTCAGGATTTCATAGAAAGGACTGTCAAGTCTTTTTATAGCATCATTACAGCAGAAGGAGGAAACAGTTATCCCAGGGTTGGAAGCAGGACACAAAATATCTCACTCCTCCTCTTTTTTTGTTTCCTTCTCTGTACCCTTACCAATAAAAAAAAAGAACATGGCAAACGAAAGCAAAAAAAAACACTAAGTGCTAGATGTAGCAAATAAAGTATTGGGACTTACACTAAAAACCAATTTGTTGTCTATCTGAAATTCAGATTTAACTGGGCATCCTGTCTTTCAGCTGCGTCCCAGCACAGTTTACCTCGGTAGTCTCACAGTTCTTCATGGGCCGTGTAAAGTGTAAAAGAGGCTCATGAACAGAAAATAGGGAATGCAGCAGTGGATTGAGGCCTCATTAGATTTCCTTTGAAACAGAATAGGCAGGAAAAGAAAACACTGAGCAGAGCCTGGATAGAGCAATAAACTCAGAAGCCCCAGAATGGCACTTCCATAACTGAGCCACACTTGGCCTTGGTGTTTCTCGTAGTTAGAGGTTACATAGTGTATGTTTCCAGCCCTTCCCCATGGAACACTGTCATGCCAGGAGGACAGGCACTTGCTGCACCTCCACTCCTTGGGGTGCCACAAATGAACCTCTAAGAAGAACTGAGCATCATTTTCAAGAACTTCAGTTTGGCAATCAATGGTATACTCGTACTAGTGTTGTGGCCATGATCAAGCCTGTTGCTTAAAAGTGTCAAAGAGTTCAAGCTCAAATGCTTCTTCCACAGAGGACAGGAAATGATAAAAAGTCTAAAGAGCCTTCCTTAGAATATATCAGAGTGGGGCTTCTACTTCCCATCCAGAAAATGGCACGTGGCACTGAGAGCCTTCACCTCTGTGTTTGGCCCCATTCCTTCTTAATATCACAAATCACCAAGCTCTCAGTTAGAAACCTACCAGGGTTGTTTTCTCTAATAAGCAGATTTGTTTTTGTACATTTAGTTTCTTCTCTATAGCCATTTTTCTACCCTTTTCTGTATATACCATCAAAGCTAGATTGTGTGACTTATAAAGTAACCGAAGTGTGAGATGAGAAATTTGGGTCTGTTGGAAGGTCTGAAAGCAGATCAAAGCTGAGCTTGGAAAGGGCTTTGCAGAGAGGGCTCTATCAAGGGAATAGCCAAGAAGATACCTACAACTAAATTTTCCCTATGTTTCCAAAACATATTTTAAATGTCCACCCTTATCTCACTCCTATTATTTCTTTCATTCTACAAGCACTATGGGCATATGACTTGTCCTACTGAGAACTAATAGAAACTCACATGTCTGATCTCCTTCCAAAATTAATCGTGATGTAAGCTGCTGTGAGTTTACCCAGCAAGAAAGAAAGAACTAGTTTTCAAAAAATAAAGAAAAAAAAAAGATTCCAAGATTAGAGCATGCATGACAGGTCTCTGTAGCATTTTCTTAAGCACTTCTTGTATGCCCAGCTCTTTGATCCCTGCATTCATTCACTCAACAAATATTTATTGAGTGCCTTCTATGTTACAGTTACCATTCTAGGCACTGGAGATAAAGTGGTGAACATTGTAAACAAAGTCCCTCTCTTTTTGGGGGGTAGAT